CTTAGCCAGTAGGTTCTCCCTTCACCCGCGGCATTCCCTGGGTGCAGGGTGGGAGGGCCAGCTGCAGGGGTGCACAGTGGCTTACCCGACTAGGACTGAGAAGAGTGAGGGGGATGAGCAGGACCTGGGACAGGAGAGAAGGACATCCCTCTGTCTGAGGCCTGGCCTCTCCCCTCGTACCCGAGGGTGGGGAGGCAGGAGTGGAGGAGGCAGGGGTGAGGGCGTGTGTGGGGACCCTCCGTCCTCACTGTGGTCTAGCAGACCCATTCAGAACATGGCGCCGTGTGTGTGTTCTACGTGAGCGACCCTAGGCAAGGTACACAGCCAGGCCTCCGGTGTGTGCCTGGTCTCCTCGTCTAGTGGGTCCTGGCAATGCCCGCGTCACCTGGATTTTGAAGATTAAGTGAGGCAATTCACTTAAGGCATTTGGTTTTGGTTTCCTTTATTCGTGACAGAGGGCATTCATGCACATGTGTGCATGCACATGTGTGCGCGTGTAGAGAGGAACACCCGCGAGCCGCGGTCCCCTCCTTCAGTCCTCTGGCCCATCGGATCTCGGGCACTGCAGCACATGCCTGGTGTGCTTCAGGCCGACCAAGCTAGGGACCCGAACTGAGATTGCACTGAAGGGACTTTGCACAAGGTGCCAGAGGCAGAGCACGAACCCTGAAATGTCAGTTACCACAGTTGCTGTCACACGCAGCTCTCAGGTGACAGCCTGCACCAGGGACGGGGCTCGGCCAGTTTGCCCCAGGGCCCGTGGCAATTCTGAAGTCGTTCCTGGAGCTGAGGGGGAAGGAGCTGCTGCTACTGGCATCCAGTGGGTAGGGCCAAGGATGCTACTGCACATCCTACCTGGTGCGGGACACACCCACGCTGCCAGAGACCTCCTGCCCCGCGTGTCATGTGTGAGAAGCCCTGTTCCTTAGGTAGGAATGTGGATGTCCTCATGTCGCAGAGAAGGAAATCAAGGTTCAGAAAGTGAAGGGACTTGCTGAAAATCGCATGGCCAGAAATGGCCCCCAAATTCCCTTGGGCAGAGAATTTCCAAGATTCCCCCGTCCTGGAAAGACCAGCCACACAGAGACGGGGTTAGGAGGGGCCTACTGAGGAGTGGGAAAGGTCACTAATGGAAGGTCTGTGTGACTCTTGGTTAGGCAGAATTCCCACCCCACATCTCCATGTGAGTCCAAAAAAAGCAGAGCCACAGCCTGGGTACCCCTCCCTGGCTACCTCAGTTACAGATACACACGCACGCACACACGTACACACACACACACACACATATACGTACACACACACGCCACAGCCTCTCCTCCCATGCCATCACCTTTACTGGAGGCTGGGGCTGTTGGGGACATTAGGAGTCGGAGCGTGGGCTTTATGGGGCGCATACTGGGGCTGCTGGTGCGTGACCTCACCTGGCGCGCAGGCCCTGGGCACCACCTGTCACCACCTGGTGCCCAGCAGGTTGGAGTGGGTGACAGGAGTGGTTCTGAATGCCTCATCAGCTCCCCTCCCACCCGCCTCTCTTCAGCTGGCAGGGAGACAAGAAGCTCGGCCTTCTCAGCAGAATTAATCTTGCAGTCACCCCCATTCCTGCGCCCCCGCCCCCCTCTTCCATTAACAGCTTGGAGATTGTCTGTTCAGCAATTAGCCGGTGCCTGGACAGAGAACTAGGGCCAGGAGGGGGCGGCGAGGCCCCCGGCGGGGGCTACTTTGGTTGTTGGGGAGATGTGACTATGAACGTGTGACAGTAGCTATGCACGTGTATGTGACTTTGTGTTCTCATGCACGCGCGCAGAAGCGTGCGACCTACATAGACCATCAGGTGGGGAAACCGAGGCTCCAGGTCAGCCTGAGTGGCAGGTTCTCATTCATAGGCCTCTCTAGTAAAGCGATAGTCCTTCCCATTGCTTTTGTGTTGTTACGTGCAGGAGAATGCATGTGTGTGAGAGTGTGAGTGTACATGTGCTTGCAGTGGGGTTTGTCAGTGCACGTGTGGAGCTATGAGAACATATGTGGGGGGGTATGAATGTATTGGAGAGTGCATACGTGTGGATGTGTGTCAGTGAAGTGTGTCGATTGGAAAGAACCTGTGTGCTAGTATGTGAGTTATCATGTAGGACTGAGTGGATCTGTGTAAGCGTGCATGTGTGTGTGTGTGTGTGTGTGTGTGTGTGTGTGTGGGCATGGTGGCCCCCCCGGAGCCTCGCCCGGCCCTTTGGCACACCAGGGGCCTGCATCACCACTCTCCTCCCGAACTTGAACTAACCCAGGGCTCAGGTCTGAGTCCAGCCTGTGCCTGGCAGGGTCTCTCTCTCCGCTGCCAGCAGGGAGGTGGGCATCCCTGGTCTCACCTTCACTCACCCACAGGCGTGATCCGGACGGCTGTGCCCGACCTCGACCGCGAGAGCCAGGAGCGCTACGAGGTGGTGATCCAGGCCACAGACATGGCAGGCCAGCTGGGTGGCCTCTCGGGCTCCACGACCGTCACCATTGTGGTCACCGACGTCAATGACAACCCACCCCGTTTTCCACAGAGTGAGTGAGGCCTTCCCCTGGGAAGTCTGCTCATTAGTCCACCTGAGGCACCCACTGACTCCAGCCTCCCTCTAGACTTCCCACCAAAGAGGGACTCGCGCCAGTCTGCCTGTCCTTCTGCCTGCCCAGGTGGTGACCCACTTACCCAGGACCCCTCCAGTCGTGTTCCTGGCAGAAGGAGCCCCGCAGTGTCTGAGCTTCCCACCCCACCTGTGGCCTGCAGAGTTAGAGCCCACCTGCCCTCGGGGAGTCCAGCCACCCAGCCCCACGGGCCCTCGCGCATCCTT